CGGAGGGACGCGGCCCGGGGCCCCTGACGGTCGCTGCGGCCTGTCCTGCGGCCGCGTCTCGGGGGGCGCTTTCTGCGGCGCGGAAGGCCGGCTCTGCAGGTGCAGGCGCGCCGCGGGCAGGTCTGTTGGAGCGGAGTGCGGCGTTCCTCCCGACCCTCCGAGCCCCGGGTGCGACCCCGCCGGACAGGCCCGCGGGCGCCGCGGTCTGACCCGAGTCGTCGGCCCCAGCGCTCCAAAGTGGGGGTTCAGAAAAAAGGGAAGGGTCAGGAGTGAGACGGCACCGTCCCACGACGAAGGCACTGCTTAGGAGGGAAAATGCAGGCCAGCAACAGACTCGGTGCTTTCACCTGGAGCTGGTGATGGTGGAGTTGCTCGCGCCCCTGCGGAGGGGAGGGTGGGGTCCGAGCGGTTCCTCCCCTGCAGGGACCTCAGAGCGGCCCTCCGGCTCCTGCCTCCAGGGTTGGCCAGAGGGTGGTTCTCCAGGGCAGGCTCTTGCACCCCGGCAGGGTGGAAGGCGCTCTGCAAAAGCAAACACGCATACCCGCGCCCGGGTTGTTGTAAGGAATAAATTTTAGGATTTCTGTAGAAGGTGTAGAAGAGGTTCCTGGCAAATAGTAACTTCTGTGGACCAGGATGGAGCTTAACACTTTATAGAACAAAGAAATATTGTCTAAAGTGGAGCCCTTGCCCTGTGCTGAGTGCCTTTCCAGCATTTTTATTTTATTTTATTTTTATTTATTATTATTATTTATTTACTTTTAAGTAGGTTTACACACCCAGCGTGGAGCCCATTGCGGGGCTTGAACTCACAACCCTGAGATCAAGACTTGAGCTGAGATCAAGAATCGGATGCTTAACCAACTGAGCCACCCAGGTGCCCCCTTTCCAGCATTTTTTAAAGCCCCATCCTGTAATTGTGAAGTCCGCTTGACCCTGGACCCTGGGCTTTCACAACACTCTCTGGCCTTTGTATCTGCTGAACGGGCCCAGTAGACGGATGCTCCCAGGAAGAATTTGAGCTCACTTTTCTGAGTTTACGGTATAGACCAGCGCTGTCCAATAGGACTTTCTGCAGTAGTGGCAATGTCATGTCCAGTATGGGGCCCACTGGCCGCATGTGACTGTGAGCACTTGAAACCGGGCTTGTGTAACTGAGGGACAGGATTTTTACATTTTCAAATTTTTAATGAATTTAAACTTAACCACATGTGAGGGGCTGCCTCACAGGGCAGAGCAGGTATGGCATTAGAAGGAAAACAGACCAAACAGTGTGAATCAAAGTCAAGCTTGTTTACTTGGCAGCGGGGAGGGCCCTGTCACTCCGCCCTGCCTTTAGCCGGCTTTTCCACACACACAGAAGGGTGGGAAGAAGGAAGCACTCCCAGTTGGCAGGATTCAGAGCTTTGGTCTCTAGCTGGTTCTACCGGGGTGACCTGTGCGATAGACCGTCCTCCAGTTTCGCGTCACTTGTGCCCTGTGCCTGGTGTCCACGTGGTTGGGTGGGCAGTGTGGCTCTGCAGCGGGCTGAGCCGTGGGTGTGTTGGTAGCAATGATGGCTGAGTTTACTTGTTTCACACTCCACTCCTGCCTCCTCCCGTCTGATAGCTCAGGCCTCGGGTGAGTCACTTCACCGCCTCACCTGCAGAGTGGGAGAAATGTAAGTACTTCCTTTACACAGTTGTTATGAGGACCTGAGGTAACCCCTAAAAAATACTCAGGTCAGCAGCATTTTGCAGGTAATGAGGCAGAGGTCTTGAATGTTTATTAAAATTATTTCTAGGTAGCTTTTGTATACGATGCTCCTGACTGTAAACAAGATTGTTTTCTTAATTTCATTTTCTAGTTGTTTGCTGGGAGAGCATAAGAATGCAAGTGATTTTCGTGTATTAACCTTGTAACCTGCAACCTTGGTTAATCCATTTATTAATTTCTGTGGAAACAATCCTATCTTCTGCCTACTCCCCCCCTTTTTTTTCAATTCTTACTGCAGTGTTTACAAGACCAGGTTGCATAGAAGTGGGGAGCATAGCGATCCTTTCTCCATCTCAGGGTAACAGTTCAGTCTCCAGGCAGTGTCGGCCTTCTGTGGATGCCCTGTATCTTTGGAGATGTGCCCGCCCGTTCCTCGTCTGCTGCAGCATCTCATTTTCCTGATAGTGAATGGCTGTTGGCACTTGTCAGACGTGCATGATTGCCCATGGGAGGTGGGGTCGGACCTGCGAGAAAGCCTGTCTTCCAAGAGTCTTCTCCTTGGCCCTGGCATGGCATGGGCTCAGCTGGACACTGTTTTGTGAAGAACTCTTTGCATCTGTATACATCAGGGATATTGGACTGTGATTTTCTTGGTCAGCAATAACAGGTTTTGGTTTGGGATCTCATGAGCCTTATACAGTGAGTTGGGTAGTAACCTCACTTCGTTTTCTGAAGAAGTTTCTGTAAGATTGTTGCTGTTTTTTCCTTCATTGCTCTTTAGAATCTACAGGGGAAATAGTGTGAGTCCAGAATCTTCTTTTGGGGAATATGCTCTCATAAGTTTCACTTTTGGGGTGCCTGGGTGGCTCAGTCGTTAAGCGTCTGCCTTCGGTTCAGGTCATGATCCCAGGGTCCTGGGATCGAGCCCCGCATCGGGCTCCCTGCTC